GGGAGTCTCTTCTGCCGAGTTATTTGGTAGAGTCTTTATGATGCAGAAACGGGTTCTTACACGGAAAAAAAATGTAGAACAAATTTCTACAATTGTAGATTTTTTCTCTACAATAAATAGTACATATAGGGACAGGGACAATTTGTAGTAAAAATTTCCAAATATTTGTGGAGAATGTATTGTAGAGTTATTATCTACAATATTTAGTAAAAAGATCCATATGTATCATAAGAATTGTTCTACAAATTGTTATAATTTTTGCTATTCATTGTATGAATTTATATTAAAAATGTATTGCGTTTTATGAAAATAAATACGAAAATTTTACACAATAAATAGTAAAAATTCATACAAATTGTAGTAATTTTTAATAAAATTTGTAGTAGTATTCCATAATTATTATAATTATAACCTAGAAAAAAATGTTCCTTAATAAAATAATCAATTTATTGTTTTAATATAAAAGATACAAATTCTTAATTACATTATGTAATAAATAACAGTAATAATAGCGCCCTCAGTCTCAGTTGGCTTTTCTGCACCTGAAAAATATGAAATAAAAATTAATACCAATTGAATTGTTCATACCCTTAAAACGGGGATATTTATCACCTTTACACTGATTTGGATATTAAATGACTAAGTCAGATAACTAACAAAAATGAGGTATGTCACAATTAAGACAAAAAACAACATTGAACTTGGCACAAAATTCGATCGTTGGGCACAACATTCGATCGTTGGCCACAACTATTTTTTTAAAATAATCTACTAAGGTTATTTAAATTAGTTATCTAAAGGTAAATTATTCAGAAACAATAATAAATGTACTTACCACCAATAGAATTTATTATTAAAATTTTCTCAAACGCATCGGTGCTTATATGTTATAGGTACTCGTATATGTACCATGCTTTGTTATGTGAACATGGCGAACGGCTACTGCTGTCTGGCCGTTTATGATCGACGTCAGAAAACGTTGGCCAATAGCAGAATTCTGTTTTGTTCACATGACTTAGAATTTCTACAATATTATAGAATATTTTTGAAGAAGGGATGTAAAGTATTACTATTTTTTGTAGAGAAAATTACTTTTTTTTGTAGAGATAATTATTAATATTTGTACAAATTTTTACAGAAGTTAGTAGTAGTAATTACGATAATAATTGTAATAAATTTCTACTTCTACAAAGAATAGTAAAATATACTAAACATTGTGGACTTCTTTCCTATTGTTGTAGCATTTTATTCGACAATTCAATTGCTACAATAATTAATAGTTTTTAACTATAAATTGTAGTAAAATTTTCTACAAATTGTTAAGTATTTTTCTACAAGTCTACTACTACAACATTGTAGTAACATTTTCTAGTCACATTTTTTTCCGTGTATGTGGAGCACACAGATTAGTTTCATGGAGACCGCTGTTCTTAAAACAAGAAATATTAACATTAACTTCATTATTTGTCTTAGAAACTTGTTGCATGATCCATAAGAAAAAGTCGAAATATAAATCGAATATACTCGCCAAACGGGTAACTTGAAGTTGCCTATTTCCAAAACTGAACTTATAAGAGACTCTTTTATATAATGGTATCAAGATGTTCAACAGGCTATCACATACTTTGACAGATGTTGAGTCACAGAATTGTTTTAGAAAGCTGCTCAGGAGATTTCTGTTAACTAGGCCTTATTGTGATATTACAGAATTTTATAATGACAAGACACTGTGATATGTGTTTTATTTTGTGTTCTATTTTATTTTAGATGTATGTATTAATGTTAATTTATAATTATGTTTGTTTATATTTTAATGACTATTTATTTGTGCTTTGTATAAGAATATTGTGTTTGTCAATAAGTATTTTAACTTGGACAATAAACATATATTCTCTCTTTCTTAGATAGAAGTACTTCTCTCTAAAAGTACACGCGCGTAGGAAGCATATTGTTATACCGTAAAAAAAACATAACAACAAACAAATTTATTTAGGTAATTTTGTTTATTATAGTTTGAATATTCGGTAAAAAATTTAAAATTATAGCATTTTAAATTTTAAGGTATATTATTTAATTCAAGAAAATTAGAATTTTCGTCAATTTTGGATATTAAAAAATTCATAACAATTAAAGGGTCGAAGATACGATGATGGGCGTAAGGACTTTTTTTATTAGAAATATCCTAAAGAATATAGAAAAAATTAATTCATTGCAAAAAATGCATTTTTTCTGGCTTAATTAATTTTTCGTTGTTTAAACAATAACATCAACAAATATTGAGTGTCATCCTACACTTTTATAATCAGGAAAGCCTACTGGATATTTAAAAAAAAAAAAATTACGTATTAAAACAATTTTGCAAACGAATGCGCCAGTATGCTCTGGTCTAAAAGTATTCGCAGTCATACACAAGTCTGCTTCTGACCACACCCGCCACCCCGCCGAAATGAGGGAACGGTATTGAAGTTTGTATACTATAATTGCTTTGACAAAATGTATAATTATATTTAAAACTTCTCAGTTTGGAATAAAAATACAAATATTTAAACCTATCATACTTTAAATTAGATCGAATTTCAACAGAAATTAAATGAATATATTTCTCTTTTCGCACAATAATATTGTAATTACTTATTATTGATTAAAAAGTATAGTTATATCATTTAGTTATATTGTTTTCTTGAGTAGAGATTTTCATTCAATCAAAAAAATTTTGATTTTAAAAAAAGTATAAATGGTGTTGTGTCAAATTAGTGTCTTGTCATTTGAATAACTGTATTATTTTTTCACGTAATTATATTTATGCTTACCGCTTAAAAATTATTCTATAGTTAAAATAAACATACTTCTCAAATTTGTTAAAGAATATTTTATTGATTGTATATTTACTTTAATTGAAGTAAAGGGAATGTTTTTAAATGAAAGACTATTCTTGCAAATACAATAGCGTTTTTTCTGTGTATATTACTAGAATCTGCTTTTAGCTCCACAGCGTTGGCATATAATAATTAATGAATCTAATCGGATTGGTAGCATGTTTATATTTCAAGGGATATTTATTATGTAGAAAAGGCACATACAATTATTTATAAAACAACTGTTTTTTTAACCTTTTAATCTTGCGAAATAGATCATGCGATATTATAAAAGTAAAAAAACAATCCTACTGTGAACTTTCTCAAACTCGGCGATGCATTTATGTACAAATATACATTTAATCGCTTCACTCCACAAAAAAATTAAAATAAACTAACGGCATTGTGGATTACATTATTCCCATTTCCTCTTCTTCTCGTGCTCATGACCGTACAAATATTTTCTCGGAAATAATCTTGAAGAAACAATGTTTTTAATTTTTATGACTCCGTGTAACTATTCCACATTTCAGCCCAGCTTGCGAGCAATTAATTACTACATCATCATTCATTTATCTCGACTTAAGAGGATGTTTGTTTTCGCGAACGCTAGATGTGGAGTAATTTTTGAACGGTTTGCAATGAATTTCAAAACTTAGTTGCCAATACTGAGGTGTTATTTCGTTTTTATTAAACATTTTAGCAATGATCTTTGTAGTAGATTACGACACTTTTATTGTTGGATCATTTTCTGAAGTGACTAATAATTATTCCATTGTCAACTGTATAAAAAGTGTTATTTTCACTATGTACCATGTTACAAAATTGTCACAACGTAGAATAACTTTTTCAATAATAAATAGCGCAACAGGCCTTCTAGGCCCAGGGCTTTATAATGGCCGTTATTTCCAACATTTTTTCACTACTATTCTTCACTCTCTTCTATCTTGTTCTTCAAATTTTTGACATAATATGCTATTTAAGTCTTCTAATATTTTACTCATCCATTTTTTCTTGGTTTGCTCTTTCTTCTCTTATTACTAATTAATAATTTGGTTTTTATACAATACCATCGTTGACTTTCTTTCGCACCGCTTCGAGAAACTTCCGGATAGATCCCTTTGCGGCGTATGAGTCATAGAGAGGCAGTATACGTTATTTAGATACAAAAAGTAAAAAAACTAAATAAAATGTCCTTATTATAAAAAGACAAACTAACAAATGGAATATGAAAATACAAAAAACAGGTAATATTCTTCTTAGGTTATTGATCTTCATCTTCTGTTTCAGATGTCTGGCATTCTTGTGTCTCTGCAGGTACAAGTTGTTGGTGGTACCACATTTCAGTATCGCCAACATACTGTCTGGCCAATTCCATAACATTTAATAACTTATTATCCTTTTTAAAGGCAGTGGGACATTATTAACCTTATTTTGTACTTCTGGAAAAATAGGTACACAAGATTTTTTTAGTAAAACAAAATCTTCAGTAACTTAACATATTCGCTGACTCGGAGCACGTATCAGTTTCTTTATGTTCATCATTAAATTCGATAACTTTATATTTCGATATGGTTTTGCACCAGAACTATTCTTAATATTGCTTTTCTTAAAAAATGGCACAAGAATTTCTTTATAGTTTAAAATCATGTCTTGTGTAACAGTTTTAACAATAAACTTCTTACTGGTGGTTTTAATCATGCGACTCCATTCCTCTGGTAGATAAACTCTTTCTTTTTCGACTAGAGCAAACGACCTGCCGCAGGGCAAAAAACTATTCCCAGGTTCTGGGTAACGATGTCTTATTCTCTTAAATCTTCCTTGTAACAGAAGAGATTGCCGAAACTGAACAAGAATGGAGTTCTTGTTCTGCGCGGCACAGTTGTCACTATAGACGTAAAGGGTCGTTACCTCAGAAACAATGTAGCTATTAATAAAATCATGTAAGCAACTTATCACTTCATTTGGAGATTTCCGTTATTTCATTAAAATCATAAAAGTAACTCTTCGAAACGCTGCCCTTATTGATGCAATATGGATAAAATCACAACTGGCGCTTGTAGAAAACGTCACCAGAAGGAACATGGTGGCAGGGGCATGTTTTGTTCAAAATCAAATGACATGCCTTCAACTGTGGGATCTTCCTTAGCCATAGATGAACCTTAAATTCAGTTCGGATGAAAGATATCGTCTGTTTATATTATCATTTCTGCTATAATGGGTTTTTCTTCTTGGAAAGCTATTGTTTTGTTCCTTAATGGACTTGACAATATGATCTCGGATTTTATTTGGTCTAGTTTCATGGCGTCCTCGCATATATTTTGGTCCTACTATATTTGAAGCCATATGAGTCGCTATTCTCTCCACTCTACTTTTTGTTATTGCGTGAAAGTTCATAAATGCCGTTTTACACACTCTTTTTTCAAATACTCCTCTTTTTATTTTATACGAAAACGTTTGGCTTCTTAGAACTCCACCACCTCCTTTCGGTCGCCTTCTTTGAACGTTTATCGTCTGTATTAAACCGCCTGAAAAAAAAAGTCATAAAACACCGCTTTTTGCCTAGAAAATTTATTCTTTAAAATTTAGGGTGACACTACGGTATTCCGTTCCGGATGCCAACCATGCTGGCTACGCCACTGCCCAGAGTGACTTAGAATATAAAAAAAAAACGGCAAACTTTTTGGTAACATTATTTTAGTCAGTTTTCTTTAAGTTTTTTTAACACGGACATTTACAATATACATGTGAATAATTTTTTCTTATCTAAATAGTAATCTTGTTGCTCTTTATCGCCTATTCCACAAAAAGACTTAAAAATTTCATCAAGCGTTTCTTCGCTTATGCATTCAAAGCATTTGAAGCTGCACTGACACGGAACTTCTCTACTTCGTCTTTCCACTGGGTTTCCTTTAACATTAGTGCACTCCTCGCCCTTAACTCTTTTTAATTTTCTTTGGTTTCGCATCCAAAACTTCGGATTACTGCTTCTCTTTTTAGATTTTTTATTGTCAACCAGTCCAAACGTAGTGGCAACATTGCTTAAAGGAGGTTGTTCTTCATCACTCTCACTTGATTCGGAATCGGGAATGAAATCCGATGACGAATGTTGAAACGGTTCACTTTCATTTGAACTGAGTTCACTTGCCATTTTAAATATAAATAATACTAAATTATTTAATACAAAAAATCGTTATAACAACAGCGGTTATCTATTTATAACAACACCTATATCTGAACTAAAACAAAGCGATGTTGCTCGACCGCACGAGCACCTAGCGCGCGACGGCGCCATAAGTACTTAGGAAAGAAAATGAACAGGAGTTAGATTAAAATTATTGCATTAAATTCAAAAGAAACAACGAAAATATATAAAGGAGTCGATATTTTTTATATTCCATGCATATTTTCATATTTCTATATTTTCCATTAAAGTTTGCCAACAGTTAAGCGCAAAAACCAGGCAGCTCCAAGAGCTGTCCGGTTCTTGCTGCCCACCGAGAGCAAGGCTGCTCCAAATAACGTTGCCATTTATGTACTGTTATATGAAGACACCTGATTGTTGCAGAGAACGATCGGCCTATTTTAAAGGGCAATTCAGTAAAAATCTCATTTTCGTAAAAAGTGGAACTGCCTGGTTATTGCAGCCACCCCTTCCATTATAATTAAAATCGCAAAGTAAAGATAAAAGAATAAAAATTCAGTATGATGGATGAACCTGGCGACTCTCTACCAATCTACCAAAATCTGGTTTAATATTGGTGAGTTGCAGCCTTTTAAGTGCTTTTGACTATAACTTGTAGAGATGGGTAATTTTTAGTTAAAAAGTAATTAATAATTACAATTACTTGTTTTAATGTAATTTGTAATTGTATTTAAGTACCTTTTTCTCTCAAAGTAATTTGGAATTGTAATTGCAGCAAAATCTGTGGAGGAATTGTACTTTGTAATTATATTAATTTATATTATTTAAATTGTCTAAATATAATTACTTGCCATAAGTACAATTACGTGGTTCCTCAATTCTTTCATAATTTGTTGTTTTATCGGCAAAGTAATTAGAAAAGTAATTATAAAAGTAATTGCTAATTAATTTTTTCATGTAATTGTAATTAAATCAATATAATTCCTATTTTTACAACATGTACTTTGTACTTGTACTAATTTGTAATTGTAATTATTTTTAAAGTACATGTATTTACCCAGCTCTGAAACTTGTTTGTTATATTTCGGACGCTATTTTATTCAATGATTTTAAAAATAAAAAAAAAAATAAAATGTATGTATAGCCAAAAGGCAGAGTTCTGCTTCTATTATGCCGGAGCAATAATAAAACCTGCTCTTTTAATCAACCTGTAAAACTAAAACTAAGTAATATTTGATATATAGTAAAGTAACAATAAGATTTACATGAGTAAATATTAATAACAATATACCGTAAACTAATATTAATTAACAGTAAAATGAATAATATTCTGTCATATACAAAAAATAGCCAAATTTTCTAATTGTTTTAGTCGCTTTTCTACTTTTTCAGTTCTAGACCTAGCTTCTGTAGCATTATTTTGGATTTATAATTTGAGTTCTTTCGTTTGTTTCTCAAATGAGTGTGTTATTAATTTATAAAGATTATAAAGATTTATAAACATCTTTAGATGCCATTTTTCATCGTCTTTTGGACAATCTAGAATGAGTTGTCCTGGTGTGTAGGAAGACTGAGATAATGGCTCGTTAGCCGAAAGTGCCCGCCTAATTTTGTTTATATTAAACGTTTCACAAACTTGATATAGTCGTCTCATTCTTCATTTCATATTTAATGTGTACAGCATTCGCAGTCTCACTTTACTGTGTTCACTCTATACATATTGCTCTCAAATTTCCTCTCCTATATTTGTATCTGCTTTTCTCCATTATATTCATGTATAACTTTTTCTATATTACCGAATTTATTATAGCAACATCGTATATTTTGTTGATATCACTTTTAACAAAGCACAGGAATTTTTCTCAAAAACTAACGCTTGATAAATGCATCTATCAAAGTAAATAACAAATTCACGACATACTTTGTTTTATATGATGACATTGGTTTCGCGCAATTTTTCACTACTTTCCTTGCATCCTGCCTCTATTTCCGTATGCACTATTTTACAGTCTTTCACAGAATATCGGGATTTCGTCAAAAGATCCTCTTAACGTCGCCATCAACTTGTTTATGTGCATCCATCTTGTTGTTTCAATTTCGTTAAGTTCTGCAGATTCGAAATTGTAAATCATCCGACTGTGTTGTTTTCTTGACTATGTACGTACTCATTTGTTATTCGTTTAACAATTGCAATAGAGTTTTTAATTTTTACAACGAGGTTTTGAATGGGATCTCTATTTTTCATGATAGGAGTTCTAATTAAAGTAAATTGACGATATGAAACATGATATGGGCGGGATTGTATTTTTTTTTTTAGAAAGTGGATTATATTGATTCGCATCCACAACATATTTGGTAATTTTCATTTTGTTACCAATTCAACAATCTAGCCATATTTCGGGAACCGTTTATCTGGACAATACGCTATATTAGTGTGACGCAATTTTGGTTCCACTGACAATAAACTTTTAACCAAACTTTTAACAAAAACATCTTAGAATTTGACACTTACGTTTTTATAGATTTTTAGTTTTTAAGCTATTGCATAGCTTTTATCGCGGGCTTTGAGCGCGGCGACCGAATCTAGAAATTCCGTAACGAAAATAAACCTAACACCCTCCACTCCGGCACAGCGGTGCGGCGTTGTAAGCCGTGGAAGGTTTTATCCGACCCTATTCGTATTAGTATGAAGCGGAGTTAAATATACGTCTGCGGACTGGAACGTTTACGCAATACAAGAACTAGAAGAGCTTTCTCTGGCTTCTAATAAATTAGTATCACAAATGTTCCCGGCTGGCGTAAATATTAGATACCCTTTTAATAAATAATAAATAAAACTAATCGTGAAAATTTAAGCCTACTAAAGAAGCGCCATTTTTAATTAGTTTCTGTAACTGCTGTTATTAACTTAAAACAAATACCTATTCCGAACGAATTAACATTGTAGCGGAAATGTAGAATTTTATTTACAAATGGCATCCAGACTACAATATTGCAAGGAACAAACTAAAACGCCTGGAGGTTTTTGAGTAAATCCTGACATATTGGGCTTTTAGAGCAAAAAAACGGGACAAAGGATTAGGAAAGAGTTATGTCGAAAAGGAAGTCAACTCGATTGCCAAAAATACATTAAAGATTTTAATAAATTCTGCGTTTTTTATATTAAACAATTAATTTTCTGTTTTTCAATTGTAAAAAATAGATAATAATGACATATAGATACCAAATCCTATAAGAAAGTTCTGGATTTGTACTATCAACCAACTATAACAGAAAACATTTAACAGTTTTTGCTAGAAATTAAATATACCACATTATAATGTTTGGTTTTGATATTTCTTTTTGTTATAACTTTAATAAACTACTAAAAGGGAATATTCAATTTCTTTATTATTTCTTTAATCTTTTGTAAAAATAAAAATGATTTATTGAATTGTAATCAAACATATCTAAATAATTGTAATGTTCTTTTTTTTTTCGTATTACTTGTCACGTTTTTCTTCGGCATTATGTTACATATAAATTTAGCCGATACATGTCTAAATTGGCATCTAAAACTAAATTAACCGAGCGCGAAGCCATCGTGATTACATATGCAAACTGGCACCTGTCAAATCACGCCTATCTATTCACAATAATATTACGTTTCTGTAAACAACTCATGGTTGATTTCACTGATTTCAATTTCGGAAGACGACACGTCGCGTAGCGCCCTCTCCAGCGGCGCCTCGACCCCGCAGACCGGATGAAAGATCCCCTCTTGCATATTATGAAGATAAGATAAATTAGTAAAACAGTTACTATTTTTTTTTACTACATTTCGTTGGATCACAAACCAGCTGCTAAAAAAGGTAAATAAGAAGAATGCACTTTTTCAACAAACATTAAAAAACCCGAATAACACAGAAATTAAACAATAATATAAAACATATAAAAACAGAGTAACTAATTCTATAAAAACTGTGAAAAATAACTATTATAAAAGTTTAATTAACAAAAATATTGAAAACAACTCTTGTAACCCCCAACAACTTTGAAAAGTAATAAATGAAATTAACCCCAATAGAGAAACAAAAAAAATATATAAATTCAATAAAAAATTCGAAAGGGGAAACAAATACATTCAAAGAAAATGCAAATATTTTTAATAAAACCTATGTAAATGTTGGAAAAGAACTGGCTGAAAATATTAAGCCAAATCCAACCTATCGAGCACCCCGTAATATTCTTTGCAATTCTTTCGTTCTATTTCCAACTTCCGAACGAGAAATTGAAACTATTATTAACGAGTTAAAATCTAATAAAGTCCTGGTATTGACAATATTAAGCCCGAAATAATAAAAAGTTATATTTTCCTACGACCACTTAGGAAAGTGACACATACCACACTATATTAGTGCCCTATATCACACGCGTATGAATAAGAATTTACTTTCCACCCGTGTACGAATATGCTACTTTCCGCAGCAACTGTCACAAAATGTCAAATGCATCATTTCTATTTTGATCTTTGTAATGTCCATATTAATACTAAAATCGATATGATTGTTAAATTATTGAAATAGTTGTAAATTAGATCCTAAATATTTATCTTTAACAATTATTATTAAACTAATTTTAAAATAACTAAGATATGTTTGTTCTTTATTCTGGTTAAACACATAACCGATTAGATCATTAAACTGACACATGGTCTATTAGCTTAGATGGTTAGAGCGTCAAACTTATCAACTTTGCCATTTGAGATCTGGCGAGCGACCGCGTTCAAATCCTGAATGTTTTTTAATTTTTTTTTTGTTATTTTTTTTTGTTTAGAAAATATGAAAATTGAATAAATACGATTATTGTTGATTATTTTTTTAAATACATTTTAATTATTATAATAATAACCTGGTTTTACATTTTTTGATAAATTTATTTTGTGGTCGTAGGAAAAATATTGTACATCACTTGTGTGAAAAGTGATTTTCCACACTCGTGTGATAGTTGCACTCGGCTTGTGCCTC